CTCTCTCTCTCTCTCTCTCTCTCTCTCTCTCTCTGTGACGGGATGATGAGGCGATGGCGACGGTGACGGGATGACAAGAGTAGGGGGGGTGACGGCGGGGTGTGTGTGTTGGGTCACGGGTTTACTCTCTCTCTCTCTCTCTCTCTCTCTCTCTCTCTCTCTCTCTCTCGCGCGCGCGCGCGCGCGTTGTTTAAATGCTTGAATGGAACTGGAACCTCATTTCTTTTTTCTTTCCCCTCCATATTTGTTACAGAGACTTTGTCCGACGTTTTATTCATTTTTCATTTGCATCTTTGGACGTTTACTCGAATCGTGGACATGGTTTTGTTGTTTCTAGCAAGTACTGTAACTGTCTATGGAAAGCAGCCAATCAATCAATCAAATCAATCAAATCAAACAAACAATCAATCAATCAATAAAATCAGTCCATCAATCAATCGAGAAAATCTTGAATGATCGATGGACTGATTTGATTGATTGGTCGATTGATTCACTGCCTTGATTGACTGCCTTGATTGATTGATTGATTGATTGATTGATTCCTGCATTCTTTGCCGGAAAGACACTTAGTTTTCGGCAACCATTTTATCCCATTTGGGGTGCTGTCGTGCTGTCAAAATTTCACAAGTATTCGAGTATCGGGCTGTGCTCAAATATTGGGTTCTTTGGTGGATCGAATGTAAGCTTTCCGTAACTGTTCGACCCCATGCGGGGTTGCCGTCATGCTGTTCACATTTCGACCCCATGGGGGGTACTGTCACGCTGTGCAAAATTTTGACCCCATGGGGGGTGCTGTCATGCAGTCAAAAATTTCGACCCCATGGGGGGTGCTGTCATGTAGTCAAAAATTTCGACCCCGTGGGGGGTACTGTCACGCTGTGCAAAATTTCAACCCCATGGGGGGTGCGGTCATGCAGTCTAAAATTTTGACCCCATGGGGGGTGCTGTCATGCTGTCAAAAATGTCGACCGCATGGGGGGGGTGCAGTCACGCTGTCGAATTTTCCATTGGACTACTTTTTGCAGTGCACCTGTTCATGGGCATCAAATGCCATCAATCAATCAAATTCGTTGGACAGGTCAATCGATCAACCTCTCAGTCAATCATCAATCAATCAATCAAAAATCAACAAACCAATCAATCAATCAATCACACAATCACTCAATAATACCATCAATCAATCAATCAATCAATCAATCAATCAATCAATCGTTGAGGGCTAGGGAGTGAACTGGGCTTAACAACTGTTGTCTCTTTCGCTTTCTTTGTCTGCTCACAGGATGACTAAAAACGGTAGCCAGGCCGTGAAGAAGCACTTCACGGAAGTGGGAATCAGTGGCAAAGCAGAGAAGGGGACCGGCAGTGTCTCGACCCCCACCCTTCCCCCCCCTGCCCCTTCTTTTTCTCTTTTTTTCTGGTCCGGACATTTCGACCCCCTGACGCAGGTCCGGACAGTCCGGGTCCGGCAGTGTCCGGGCGTCCGTCGTGTCCGGGCTACCGCACAGTCCGGACCGGTCCAGACACTGGTTCGGAATACGGTCCGGAAGCGTCCGGTGTCCGGGTCCGCAGTTACCATGATTGACACGGCCCTTGAGGTCCTTTGCCCTGACCCTCTTTTCTTGGAAGGGAAACTACGTGGGAGTCACAAGGAGTTATAATTGCACTGTAGGCCAAGATACAGTTTCGAATTGCAGTTCAGGCAATGTATACAACCCAGCTTTCTGGGCAGGTAGGGTGCCCGAAATGCAATTGCAAACTGTATCTTGCCCCATAGTGCAATTATAACTTGTTTTTGTGACTCTACTGAAGTTGCCCCTTCTTTTTTTTTTCACAAAACACAAGGCTCCTTCTATTCTGGGTGCAGCAGTCCGGTTCCTTTTCCACCAGTAAGTCAAGAGAATACAAATTTTACTACAGCAACGCTCCTCCCCATTATGGTTGGGAGGTACAAGTGGACGACATTGATTACTTCGGTTTGGAAGGGTATACCACCCCTCACCCCTGCCTAAGTCAGCCTCCTTGACTTCCCACAATCGACCAGTTCCTGCCCCTTCTGCTGTGTTGCCACTGTAATCCCCTGTCGACCCGTGGAGGTGCCCCGGGAGATCCCACAGGAGGGGGGTGCCCGGCTGCCAAATCAGACCCTTTTAGTGCCACCATACGGCGGCACGGGCTTCCGTCCTGTCAGCGGACCACAGCAGGGATCCTCAGGATCTTTCCTTAAAGTTGTACTACCTGACCCTCATTTTTATTTTTCCTTCCGAATAATTTTGACTTTTCAGCAATTTGCAATTTTTCCCTCCTCGTTGCTCGGTTGTTGTTCTGCAAATCCTTCCATCACTACATTTTGCACAGATCCATTTGTATTTGTATGTGCAATGCTACCCTTTGAATTATTGATTTCCTCCTTCTCCCTTCAATTTTGCGAGGACTCCTCGAACTGACACAGCAAACTCAGGTTGTGCCGTGGATTTCACCCCCTTTGCCCAAAATGCTTGGGCACACCCCTATTCTGATCCACATAACCCGCAACGATACGGAATGCTGCACGGGTTGTGAGGTTGCCCATCACACATTGTTGCTCCCATAGGACAGGGAAAATTCAGGAGCAATAGCGAGTCAACTCTCTCTCTCTCTCTCTCTCTCTCTCTCTCTCTCTCTCTCTCTCTCTCTCTCTCTCT